AATCATGTCCCCGGTGTCACAAATGTTGGGATGCGCATGGTCCCCGGGTACGTTGCCGATTTCATGGGCACCACACGCGACGCAAGCTGCGCCGACTCCGTGTACTCGTGCCGCTCCATAACAACCCCCCATACACACTCAGTATTCTCCATCAAGCATGATCTCCGAGGCGCTGCAAAGGAGTCGATACATGCCAGATGTGCAGCTGCGCGCTATCAGACTCGGTCCGCGGCGTCCTCGTGCGAGAAACCGAATTTGCGGTCTACCCGGATGCAGTTGTCCTCGACGCTCGTGCGGTGGTCACGGTATGTGGGAGCAGTGGCAGAGCTCACATGATCTTTGTTCATGGTATCCGACCACGAGCTCATCTGAGAACTATTTCCACAGGCGGTGGAACTGTCCGTCAAAGTAGACGTTGCGGGCTTGCCATGGAGCTTGTTCTTGGTGGATCGTAGGCCTCTGGGAGCAGCGTTTTGATCATGGGCAACACCCGCCCACATAGCCGAGAGGGGAAGGAAGATGCAGACAATTGTGAGAACGTGGGATACAATCTCAGGGGGGATGCTCTCAACGAATTGGAGAGATGTGAAAATAGCTGCACGTACGTTAGTAAATGTCAGTGTTTAGCATGGCAAAGAGAGGCAAACCTGGTATTGACATTGTCTGACAACCCATGATGAAGACGATCTGCATCGGTCCAAATCTAGGCATATTGAGACGGCGCCTCTGAAGGATGGCATGTCCCAATTTCCAGGTGAACACGCAACTGAATAACCAGATGGATATAGTTTGCATGATGTAGGTCATCCCGTCCAGTGCTGCCAGAGAATCGGGTGACACATTGTCCAATGCGTATTTGGTATTCAGGTAGACGAAAGCGAACTTGACTCCAAAAGCAGCGCAGGCCACTGTGGTGGTTGCACCCATGATGATGGTGCGATGTAGAGGTGGTGTAGTGACGCATACGATCCAGACTTGGAGACTGAGTGAAGCGTAGACTAGGATAGCGACGATAAGACTGAAAACGTTGATTAAGACGTAGATAGCCCAGTCCGCATTAGTCAGAGGTGGTGAATATGGGGTAACATCGCTGTAAGGGTCGTTCCAGGTGCTGCTAAGATACATGGCGAGAAGCAGGCAGCGGATGGTGTTGGTGAAGAGGGAAGCGGTGTTGAGGTAGAAGATGAAGGACTTCCGCTTCTCAGCCTTGGTCAAGAGGACGAGAACAACCAGAAGCATGATCGATACACCAAGACCTACCCCATTACTGGTAGCAAGGCGGGCGGTGTTCACGCTCCAATAGTTGACATCCGCCATGTTGACTGTGGTGACTGCCCATTTGGGTTCGTCGCCCATCACAACCGGCACGATGAGGGTGAAGTTTTGGGTCCATGGCTCGAAGCCGGGCGGAACCTGGAAGTTGGACGGAAGGTCAACGGCGTGGAAGTCGTCAGCCATAACGGCTCCTACTGCTAGCAGTCTTTGGAGGTTATAGAGGTAGTGCTGTTTGGCCGTAGGTCCAGGGGAGGAACAGAGTCTGACGGAGTTGGGTCTGGAGGTGACAATTTGGAAGAAAGATAGAAAGTACTAGAGGTTGAAGAAGGAATGAAGGAGTCCTGCAGCAACGAGAGTCGAAGCTGTATCGTTTATATCAGAGTTATATAATAGCTAGATGGCAAGGTTGGTTCTGTGCTGCAGATTGGTGGCATGCAGGGTCATCGAGAAAGTGACGGGGAGTGATGGCTTTCGGATCCCGAGCGGATAATAGCAGCGGCAGCGTGCGATTGTTTCGATATCCCCACTCACAACTATAGCTAGCCAAAGCGAGGACGAAGATGAAGTCTTAGAGTTACCTGGAGCCCTTACTATTGTTCCATGGTCCCTTCACCTGCATGCGTCCGGATACTCGCCTCGGTCTGTAAACGCTTGACCAATGCTCGCCGCTGGTGCTCTTCTCCTGTCTTACAGTGAGTCGCAGAGTCGCTCATAGTGAGTTGGATAATTGCGAGATGCGCTGTTTGCAGTGTGCGATGGTTGTGATGAGATAGCGCGAATTCCTTACTATTGTTCTCCATCTTCGACTGTCTGAGCTTTGAGACTGTTGGGCGGCGGTGTTCGTGAGAACTGGGACCAACGGCAGTTGAGATGCACAGCAACCAAATTAAGTACACGAGTTACCGTTGTACAGGTATCGTCCTTCGAATCCATATCCTTGCTGTAACCGGAGGAGGTAGCGGCGTACGGCTGGCAGGCAGAAAGGGAAGGTAAGCGTGAGCGTGAGTGGCGAATCAGCAGATAGCCCCACTTATTATGCGCGTCACCGCTAGCCCAGCTGCGCCTTCCGCAAACGTGACCACGCGTTAAATCCAACATTCGCGATCAAGCAACCGCCACGACGCGTCAACCGGCCCAGGATGTGGACACTGATCTCGTCACATACCACAGGAGCGCCGGGCTCCTCGGAGTATGCCCTACCAGAAACAGGAACAGTTCACATCGTCAACAAAGTCCATCCTGGCGTGGTTCGCATTATAGCAGTGCCTGCAGTCGTACCTGAGCTCGGTCGCATCGGTAGGTCCACCGAAGAGGCTTGAGACATCCACTGACTATGGCAGATTCTGGGCCATGTGGGGTCAAACTGGAAGCCATCACAGCCTCATTAAGCATCTTGCCTGGCCAAGCACACGCCAACAGTCTATCATCGGCTGCTAGATACGAGTTGCAACCACAGAGCGACGGACGCTCAGAAACAATATTCTTGCGCCATGGCGATCAGATCCATGTTCCAAATGCGGAATCTTACCTGACTTGTCAGTGGACAGACTCGGAGGTCCAGGTCAACTCATCCGCCGCTGACGCTATGAGAATCGCGGTGACACCTGAAGAAGCCCAGAGCGAGGGCGATGATACAAAAGATCCCGCTGTCAATGTAGCAAAGTCACAACCTCGCGCAACCCCTCAGCTTTCGAATCAACGATCGACTACGGTGATCCAGGAGACCCCAACCGCTGCGCGTACAGGGAATGTTACAGATATTTACGAAGCAGACGTTCAGGAAGCAGAGGCTTTCTCGACCGCCCGTACTGGCGAGTCACAGGATCAGATGCAACCACAGCTGCCTCTGAATGCTAGAACATCTTCACCGCGAGTACACATACCATCGAGGTCAGCTAAGAAACGAACACGGTCCCTAGCCGATGAGGCGGACGCAGATGCATCCAAGTCTGACAACGGGGCATTTGCTGGGCCTAGCAAGCGCGCCAAAACAAGCGATAGCGACACAGAAGACAGTCGCCTGAGCAACGTCGACGTTGCTCAGCCCGAACAGTCCGCCCCACCACGATCGCAGAGGGGTTCGCAACGATCCATGTCTACTACTACAGTTAGAGAGGACTACGATGGCCCGGTTTCCCGTGTAGCCTGCAGCAACTCCACCATCACGAAAGCAAGTGCGGCTGTCAAGTTCCTGAAGAAACAAGGTGGAGTGTTTGTAGAGAATCTGGCTGATGACTTCAATGTACTATGGTAAGTACTACACTGTCTTTGCTGTTGTGTCACCATGCTAACCGATCAAAGCGTACGAGATGGTGATCTCCAAAAGACAACAAAAGTACTTTACGCAATCGCGCGCGGCATTCCTATTGTCACAGACCAATGGCTATTGGAATCTGCATCAGCTAAGCGCCTGCTTGCCGTTTCCGCTTTCAAGCCATCCATACCTAAGCAAGAAGAGGAGTGGAAGATCAAGCTCGACGACATCCTCGAAAAATCGCAAACTCCGTTCGCCGACTTCGCTGTTCACTTTACGAAAAGCCTCAAGACGAGATACGCATCTTTCTCTGACATCGAAGCGGTCTGCAAAGCCGCCGGCGCAAAAAGCGTGACGACTGGTGCGACGAAGTTGAAGAAGACAGGAGATACCATCGTTCTCGCTGAAGATGGAGACGATGCCGAGGCACAAAAGCTAATCAAGGATGGGGTAACATGCTACACAAAGGACTTCTTCACGTACAGTATCCTGCGGGGTGTTGTCGACCTCGAGAGCGACGAATTCAAGATCGAAGGAGCCGCAGCGGGCGAGACACCTTCAAAAGAGCAGAAGAAGAAACGAGGCCGGAAGAGTAACTAGGCACGTACCGAGGAGGTAATGGTCAAGGACGGGTCAGCAATCATGATTTCTCTAACTACATGTTTTACTGCATAGCGCGCGGAGCAGCTGCTTCTTTGGACTCATACCAGACGACGGGTACGGAGGTAATTCGTTGATATCGCATTATACCCACTTCCATCATCGTAATAGAGCAACTCAATAGCAATGCTATCAATCAAATTATAATACAATACAACGCTTATCATAGCATCACTGCCGTCGTACGCTCCGGTAAGCGAGCAAGACCCACATCATCCCCCACTATAACATACATATCCCCGATGCTGCCGATGTTTGCTCGCTCCAAGTCTTCCGAGAAGCGAAAACGTGAGGTTTGCCAGGCGATTAGTACGATGCAATTTTCAGAATCCTCCATCAAGAAGTGCAACAGCGCATTTCGATAATCCTCTGTGGCGCAATTGGCTAGCGCGTCTGACTGTTACTACACCAGTAGCTAGTTATCAGGAGGTTGGAAGTTCGAGCCTTCCCGGAGGAGGATTACTTTTTGCTGGGTGTGCGTACATAGACGTGTTGAGTGCTTGGGGGCAGGATGGGAGTTGAGCTTTTTTTTTTTGGCTGAGGATGTGTGTGGCTACGATGCTAGTGTGTAGCGGGGAAACACGAAGTTTAGAGAACATCGTCACAACAACGCGACGCGCAATTGTTTTTACTCGATAGATATCCGTTATACTAGCTATCTGGAGATGCACAAACGCAGGGAGTCACAGTTTCATCAAGGCAAGTGCAGTAAGATCTATCAGTTTGGGACAAATCATGCTGCTCAAGTTCATCGATTGTCGGAGACTGGGCATCAGGGATGTAATCCCGACTAGCTTCTGACCAGACTCAACTATGCCCTTCCAACCTTGAAGCTCAATATCTGCTTCTCGTTAGCGACTCGTCTAGTTTGATGTTCATAGCACACTCACATCGTTCTTTCCCACAGCAACAACATCGTCCTCCGCCACTCTCCTCCCACCCTCCGTCTCGACATACGCCATCGGCGCGTCACCCATAACCTTCCTATACACATCACCCACTGTGCTACCCTTCTTAACAAGCACGCAATCTCTAAAGACAGCCGTCGAGCTCGCACTTCCACTGGTATACGCGTGGATGTTGCGGACCGGGAAGACTGGAACCAGTCCGAGGAGTTCTGCCGCTCGCGACAGGACCTGCACGACACCTGTGCTGCCAAAGCGGTAGAGGACCATGTCTTTAAGATTCTCGATTCGTGTTGTGAGCTTCTCGTCCAACTCCTTCAGTCCGCCTCCATCGGGGTCGCCTTGCTCAATCAAGTCTTCTCTTGTATCGACGAACTCGCTGCCCTCTGTGTATTTGATGAAGCCCTGTTTCGCTAGTTTCCGCAGAAAGACTTCCGATATCGCGCTGCAAAGCACTATGCTCTTGGCATCTACCTGTTTCGCAATCTTCGCAATGTTCTTGTCTGCGTCGGGATGATCGATTTTATTGAGGGCGATGACGGTAGGAAACTTCTCGTCGGTGAAGGCGTTTACGACTCGTTCGATGGTCTCGTTTGACCAGTCTTGTAGTGGTTCCTTGAGGGCAAGGCGATCGAGACAGCGCGCAACGACGCTGGACGTGGATCCGTAACCTGAGAACTGGTTCTGTAGTGTCTCGACTGCCGTGGCTTTGATGGCGACATGCCTCCTCTTGATACTGCCCCATTTCTCCATCAGGTTGCCTTGTATCCATCGCACAATCTCGCTCCTCAGCCAGACAATGTCTTGACTTGGGTCGTAGCCTCTTGTCGCCTTGCCCTCCGCGTCAGTCGTCCCGCTCACGTCCACCACGTGTACAAGCGCATCTGCATGTCGCAAGTCGTCCAAGAACCTATTTCCGAGGCCTTTTCCCATGTGTGCGCCTGGTACGAGCCCGGCGACATCGAGAAGTTCTATAGGGACCGACCGCCGTCCTTCGACGCAGCCGCCGTAGTTGGGTTTGCAGCGATCAGCGAGACCGAGGCGCGCGCATGGGCATTCGATCTGAAGGTAACCGATGGCGCGCTGAGGGTCGATGGTGGTAAATCTGGTCGTAGCATTAGGAGCTGACGATACGAAGAATCGAGCGCGGTGTGCGCTGCGCAGTCGCATTCCATGGATCGGAGAGGGATGACTTACGGGAAGTTACCTACTTATAATCAGCCTACATAGCTCCCAGCGTATTCAATCATGTACGGACCGACTTTGGAGGTAGCATCTGTCAAGCTGCCATGAAATCCGTCTTAGAAAGATCCGCGAAAGAGGGGTGGAGGGGCATTGCGCACCTGTTCAGTGTAGTCGACTTGCCGGACGAAGGCTTGCCGACGAGGCCGATTAGCGGGTCGCGAGGCATGTCTAAGGAATGTAAAGAAGGAAGAACGGGGGTATCAAAGAAGGCTAGTCGAGTGCTGATGGTTGCAGTGCGAAAGCCAACATTGTCAAATTCGCGACCGCCCTTATCGATAACGCACTGACATCACATAAGGCTGCAGCTCGCCATCACGCATACATTCAGGCAGATAGGCAATGCTTATACTCGACTCCATACGACCCAGCACCCCTCACATTACGATATCTAGAACATGTCTATCTTGCTACAACGCCCTAGAATGCTGTTCATATCAAGATTCAATATCCTCCCTCCTATCCAATAAACCAATCAATACACCTTGTTGAAAATATGCTCCAAAGAGAGACTTTTTCGGGGGTATAACGTCGCTGAATGGGAAAACATAAACATTCGCAACCACATCTGCACAAAAGTCCGGATCAGCCCCAACCCCGAAGCCGCCAGCGGGGTAGACCCCATATTAGATAGTAGAAACCTCATGAGATGCCCAGTAATCGTTAATCTATATTGAGAATATCTCTCGGTTTCGTAAGGTTATGTGTGCGTTTTCTGAAGCGTTGTCAGCGACTCATCGACATCAAGTTGTCCGCAATGCTCTGGACTTACGAGACTGGCAATAGCCGCCGCCGAGGCGAGGTCTGGTTTGCCCGACACACTGCGCTGTGCTGCGCGCGGCAGTCCACTTCCACCTGCGCCATTGAGTGGCGCTCCGTTCGCTGCACGCTTAGTACCTGCTGTTCCAGGTGCAAGGCCTTGCACGGTGGAGTGGCGTCTCGGGGGAGCAGAAGTTTTCACAGGTGAGTTGCTGTTCGACACCTGACGTTGTCCGCTGGCTGCGGTCCCGTTTCTGAAGCTAGACACGGGAGGCTCGGGAAGAGGTCGGACGCGTGGCTGCGCCGACTGTGGGGGCGGCATTCGCTTCGCAGGTGAAGAGGTGCCGGACGGGGCGTTGAATGGTCGTCGTTGTTGATTAGTTTTGCGTACGCCAGTGATGAACTCATGCTGCATCGCTTCATCGGGCTTCATTCGACGTTCGGGATCCCAACGCAGACAGCGCGTGATGAAGTCAAGGAAGGCCTCATCGTCACACTTCAGGGCTTGTTGCAGTGTCTTCGAGCTGGGTCGTCGCCTGCGGCCCTTCGAAGAAACAGTGACTCTGGGCTTGCCAAGGGAGTCAAAGAACAACTTCTTCCTGCTACTCTTCTCGATAAGGTGCTTCTCTGGAGGTCCGAATATCTCCATGATGCAAGCAAGCTGCTCCTGTTCGTTCTCTCCAGGGAATATGGGGTAACCGGTGAGCAGCTCCGCAAGGATGCAACCCAAACTCCACATGTCTATTGGCAGACCGTAGCTCATGCCGAGGATGACCTCCGGCGATCGGTAGAATCGCGACTGAATGTATGTATAGACCTTCTCGGTTTCGAAGCAACTGGATCCGAAATCGATGACCTTGATTTCCGAGTGAAGCGGATGCGCAAGTAGAATATTCTCCGGCTTCAAGTCACAATGGATGACTTTCTGGGTCTTCAAGAGGGTCAACGAAGCCAGCATCTGTTTGCAGAATCGGCGGATTAGGCGTAGGGAGAAGCCCTTGAACTCGTGTGCCTTGATGAACTCGTACAGATTCATGCCAAGAAGCTCGGTCGAGATGCAAAGATGGCCACGGAAGTAGAAGCTCTGGGTGAAGTTGATCATGCTGTGCTTGTTATCGGGGTCCTGGATATCGTTAGCAAGTTTACTCTGTGTACTGAATGCATCTTTCTTACCCATTCGCGTAGCTTCTGAAGAATGTTGACTTCGACCAGAGCTTGCTGATGGAACCGTTTCTTGTTACGAATGATCTTGATCGCTTCGAGCCCTCCCGTCTTGTGGTCTACGCAACGCACGACCTGTCCGAAGCTGCCCTTGCCAAGAACATCAACAACTTCGTATCTGTATGCGAGATGGTCCCCCAAGACGATGTTGTAATCGCCACGTTCGTCGTCATAGCCAAAGTTTGCGGTCTGCGCATTCAGATCACCAACGTGCTTCTTGGCGTTCTTTGTTCCACAGAAGTAGACCTCCTTGTAATCGATGATCTCGCCTCTTTCGAATATGTTCAGATTGGCCATGCGCACAGCATCACTTGGACTGACGCGCTCCTTGGCTGTGGCGCGCTTACGGAGCTCGTCGACATCGCGCGCCGCATGCTCGAAGTCTTTCCGCTTCGAAGCAAGCTTCTTCATTTCTTCGTCGGCCAACATGTCATCTCTATCGAGGTTCGAATCGAGATTACGAGCTTTGAGCATATTCGATGAGCTCTTCGTGCCCAGCATCCGCTGCATCGGTGTCAATATCGACGTTGACTTCTGTGTCGCCTGGCTATTAGCCTGGTCTGTGTGGCCCGATACCGCACGTGTTCCAGCATTCCCTACGGGCTTACGAGCACTTAATTTCTCAACCTCTGTATCACTTGCAACCGCTGTTGCAGAGGGTTTGCGACGCCCGAAGTCAAGGGATGGTCGACTCCCACTCTTGGCGGGACTTGGGCTTGTGCCAATAGCACCGCTCCAAGTAGCAGACGCAGGTAGCCGCGGTGGAGGCATTTCGCTGTGCTTAGGAGGCTGGGGTTGCTGTCTTGGTTCACCGCCCTGAGGGCCCGGTTTTCGAACCTGCAGATTCTGCGATTGATGTGTTGCAGCTTTGGATGAAGCTCTTCTCCAGCCACTAAGGCTGAGCTTTCGCCGCAAAGATGATCCAGAAGAAGGCGTTTCAGGTTCCGTTGACGTGGACGTCTGTATTGAATCTGACGTGTTCTTCTTCTGTAATGGCCGCGGGCCAGCAACCATACTCTGCATCTCCACATCCCTGGCGGAGGATTTGTATTCACCGCTAGGTCGTGGCTGCAAGCGGGCGAACTCACCGCTACCCTTTGGCAACGAATTCGATGAGAAAGGCGTGGTGGCTTGACGTGTTGGGTTCAAGGTCGGAACGGGAATTGAACCAATGTTCGGGTGGGTATCAAGCGAGGAGTCTGCAGCACGCAGGTTAAAGGCCGAGCTACTGCTACGCAAATGTTTGTGGTATTCGTCGTGATGGTTGTTCCTTGCGAAGAAGTTCGCCTTGGAGGCTGTCATGGGCGTACTAGGCGTTTTGTTGGCAGCACGTTTAGGTGGTGGCGTTACATTACGCTCGTCCACTTCACCAGAGGGCGCAGGGAAAGACGATATCCGATTGTTGAATGGTGTGCCGAGCGGCAGCAGATTCAGCGGCGGCAGTCTGATTGGCTGTAGGTTCTTCTTGCTGGACTGCTGTACCGTGGGCGTTCTCTCACCTTCGGTACCAGCTCCAACAGTTAGTCCCCGTCGATGTCTGATGGACCCTGTGCTCCTGTTCATAAGACCGCCTTCCAGGGTCTCGTTCTGCCGAGGCTCGGCTCGTTGCGTGTCGGGTGTTGACACTGGTTCTTGAGGTGCTTGAGGAGGCGCGCTCATCTTTGAATTTGGTGTTGTGAATGCAAAGCTGCTGCGTTCGGGGTCCTTGGGAGATTCAAACGCTTTTGGTATGGCAGGTACAGGGGGCACCTCTTCTTGCTCCCCACCAGCTGAGCTTTGCACATTTCGTGGCTTTGGCGCAGGCAGACGAGAGCTTGTCGGAGCGGTATTGGTGCGCAAGGGTATTGATGAGGGACCGACCTTCAACGAGTTCAAGCTTGAGTTGGACGAGAGCGATATACCAGAAGCATAGGACTTGCGCTTCTGCTCGGGCGTCGCGCGCGCCGAAGACGGTGTCATGCTGCCTCCCACAGCCAAGGCGGGGGACTGGCTGAAGGCTCGCTCGTCGAATGTCTGATCGCCCTGGGGAGTGGGAGGGCCCACTGGGCCGCCTGGCGGATGGTTTGGGTTCATAGACAGTCTCCTCAGCCGCCGAGCGTCTGTGGGGCTAATGGTTCGCGCGCCAAGTCCAGAGATGTGTGGAGCCGTCGACTGCCGTTTGCTGGATGAGGACGAAGGCGTGTATGATCTTTGCGCAGCGGGAGACCTGCCAGGGGAGGGCATTGAGCTTGGATCGGGGGTCATGGATGAGACAGTCAGGTGGCCCGGTTGCTGTCTCGAAGGCGGTTGTAAGGACTTTGCTTTGGCGTTGCGTGCGGCAGTTGGGAGCCTGGGTACTCCGGTGGTAGGAGCTGTGTTGATGTTTGCAGACAGTGTTTCTCGCCTGTTTCCCTTGTTCAGTGACGGCGCACGGCCGAGCTGGGGCATTGTGTTGTCGTTGGCCAGTCTGTCCATTTCCTGGCGCTCGAAGCTACTTGAAGGCAGCATTCCAGGGCCAACGCTCTTCCGTGGTGCTCGGGCAGCTGGATTTGGGGGTGCTTGGGCGGGGAATTGACTTTGACGACGTGAACGAATGGCCATGTTGCTCTGCGGCGCTGGCATGTTCGTGTCAGAGCCCGATGCGGTAGAGGCGCCACTTGGCTTCCTCGCGGTGGACTGGCTGAAGCGGCGAACGAAGTCGCTGCTGCGTGTGGGGGGCTTGTCGGTGGGCGTGCCCGTGAATGACGGCATGTTGTTGTTACTGGGCGTGGTCGTGTTGGCAGGCACGTTGGCCTTGAACGTGCCAGGCGCAGGGAAGTCGCTCAGGGCGGGCTCATACGCGAGGCTGTTGGCGAAGTCGTCGAAGTTGACGGCGGGCAGAAAGTCGTACGAGCCGGTGCTCTCAGTGGGCTCCTCCTTTGCAGGCCCGGGCTGCGGCTGCTTGGTGAAGCTGAAGCGTGGGTTCGAGGGGACGGTACGCGTGGCCGCCGTCTCATTCGCGGGCGTGGGCAGGAAGGAGCGCGTCTCGAGGGAAGCGACGCTGGCGCCGCTTGCCATTCTGCTGCATCACGCGTCAGTGCTGTCGTCGCCATAGCTGCGGCGTCGTACCTCTGCTTGGTGAAGTCCTGGGGCCGCTCGCGGGGGCCCAACGGCACCTTGGCCCTGCCCCGTCCTGCGGCGTTGTTGTTGATGGAAGGCAGCGGGCGGGCT